GCGGCGGATTGAAATGGGAGGGAGGGGTGGGGGGGGCGCTCTCGTGTGGAGTTGAGTCATGGATCCACGCCGTTTTCCCCTCACCTGACACACTTGTGTGTGGGGGTCAGGGGGTTCGGAGTTTGTTTGGTCTTAAGCTGCAGGCGGCGAGCGAGCCCCCCCCTGCGCGGAAGCATCAGACGGTGGAAAAGAAAAGATGGATGTGCTTCCTTCCTGTTTTTGTTGTGCAGTGGCCCACTAGCCTGGGGCCAGCCGCAGGAAGTCAAAACACTGACAGCTAATTCCACCGCCGCTTAGACTCTCACCTTGCCCTCACCTGTAAACACAACACGGCAACAATGCTACTAGCTCGTCTGCGGCCCAAAAAGTCAAGCTAGAGCGCGAACCCCGGTGGGCATGCCTTCCGGACCTTCCTGCGATATCGAAAGACCATTAAAAAAAAAAAAAAACAAAACTCTGTACTTTCAGTGTACCTAACTTGCCAAACGCCATATAAAAAATTGTTGCAGAAAGGGAACCCGGCATCAAAAACAAAAATTATGCAAGTGACTCGCTGTGGCGCCCCTTGTAGGGACAAGCTAAAAGTCGCAACAGTAGAAATTCATCAAATTGGAAACCTTCCATGCACTGCTTGTTAAAAAAAAGGGGGGGGGCTGTGGGTGAATAAATGTGGATTGTTCCCTGATTACTTTGATAGCACGGGTAGGGGGGGTGGGGTAGCAGGCATTTAGTGTAATTTCTCTTTCATGTTTCCTCTGTAGACTTGTTTTGTTCTTATCTCGCCGGCTGGAATGAGCTTTGATTGCAGCGTGGAGAAACGGGCCCGGCCGGCCGTGTGAACTTGAAAACTGGAATCGAAAATCCGTCGGACGCGGACGTTCTTCGCCAATCCTTATTTGGATCTGACACATGCGCTTTCCCCTCCATACAGTACGTCGGGGTTTTGTCCACAAAACATTCATGATTCACCCCCCAAAAATTGCGACTTTTGTTGTATTCTATCGTGCCAGTTATGTCACGGAATCGCAGGAAAGATCATCGAAAAAAATCCAATATGGCAATGATGCAAACGCGGCCCTTAAAAGGCATCCAATCAGACCGCCGTTCTGACGCTAATGTGCGTTCTGCCTACAGAAGAGTCCCGCCACTCCATGGGACCCTGACTGCCCGCCCCCTTTCCACCTCTTTGATGTTTGGGGGAGTGCGCCTCACCCACCGGGGTCACATATTTACCCTGGCTGCCTGGCAACTCCCTCCAACCCCTGGCCAGGGCCTCGGAAGTTCTCGAGAGTCACCTATTCTTTGCAGGATTTGTTCTCTATATTTTTAATGTATTTTTATATTTATGGGGATTTTTTTTTCAACCCATTTTTCGTGGAAAATGCTGATTTGAGGTTTTCCATGAATTTTGGTGGGGTGAATGAGGCCTATTCAGAAACCTCAAATCAGTTTTTATTACGCCTGCTGTTCGTGTCTCCTCTTAGCTCCTTGCGAGTGTTTTCATTTTGCATTTGTGCCTTTGACAGTTTGTCCCATTTTGATTGAAAGCGACCATGGCTCTCCTTGCCTCCACGCCGTGGCATTATGCTACCTTTAATGATCAGTGGTGGTCTTTCTGAGCTCGATGGCAACTCCGTTTTTTGCTCGCCATATATAGCCCCCCCCCACCCCCCCCACAAATAATCAGCAGTCCGTAACATTTAAACTCCCAAGTTAGGGCAGTCGAAAATCAAAGATGTGTTTCTGTGTTTCTTTCTGGAGGTATTTCGGCATGGCTTACTTCCTGTTGTTGCAGACCGCTGTGTCAACACCGGCCCAGCCTGGTCCGGCAGCCGCCGCCGCCGCCACAATGATACCTTCAGTGCCCAAATGAAGCCGTCAAGCGAATGGCACCCACCGCCGGCCCGACAAAAAACCCGTTTGCGTCGACGTGACCTGGCTTTCCAAACAAAAGACGAGTTTCGCTTGGACGCCGTGAAAATAAAAGAAAATTAAAATAAACCTCAAGCATCTCCCCGTGGCGTATTTATACCATGGCACATGAACATTTGTGCAGGAGTGGGACGAAAACAACATCCTGTGGCCTCCCCGCGTGTTAACATGCCTTGTCGTAAAAGACGCCGCTTTCAGCCGCCGGGAAGGAAATGGATTCCACATGTGCGTTACTAACTCTTTCCTTGCACGGCGTCGCGAGACATCATCGGGGGGCTTCGGGTGGGTGCGTAAATCTTTGTGAAAGTGTGGGAAAAAGAGATACACATCCCAAATGTCACGTTGACTTCATACATGGCACTGGACAGTTGATTAGGAACATACATGACATGAAGCAAAACTGAGCCTTGCTCGCCGCCATCAAGGAGGTTGTCATTGTTCGACTTTACAGATCAAGATGAAGTTTGCCGATGACATTTTTTTTCTTCTGGTGGGTCACTGCCCCAAAAAGTTCAAATTCATGTTTGCACCTTTTTGAAAAACAAGCAAAATCGCGATCGAACCATCGATGCTATTTAGCGTTAGCATTAAGCTAGCGTAAAGAGGTGAGATACAGTCAAAGCACGCTACAAAGTACACCCCAGAAATACGCCATTTGCTGTGTGTGTGTGTGTGTGTGTGTGTGTGTGTGTGTGTGTGTGTGTGTGTGCGCGCGTGTGTATGACCTTTAATAATGTGTGCAGGACTCATTATTGGCCCCGGGCCTGAGCTCTTTCATTAGCTGCGGAGCGGACGGCCGACGGGGGGGATCAGGGGACGGGGTGGAGATCGTAATTGGGCCGTTCCGCTCCCCCCCCCTCCCCTCCGAGGCCCAAGGTCACGGCGAGGCAAACTCTTCGGCCAGGTCTTGTCACTGCCTCGCCTTCCTCATCCTCGGGTCCTCCCGGGGTCTTTGGTGGCGGCGCACGGAGTCCGCTGGGAGGATGACGTGGGACTAATTCGGTCTAATCTCTCAGCCTGTTAATGTGCGGTTGATATGTGGATTTCTCCTCATCCTCGGGGGAAGGCCTTTGCGATGAAGGCGGTCATTAGGAAGTTTCCTACTCCTCCTAACCAATTACAAGAAAGGAAACTTTTGTCCACTTGTGTTCCGCACATCAAAAAGCGGAAGAAAATGCAGTAAGTTCACACGTTCTATTTGAAGATGTGCCACGGCGGTCAGCAGCGAGCGGGTCGATGACGGCCGCCGCCGTTAAAGCTCGCTTTGATCCCGGGAAGTGTCGGCGTAGGGGGGCGGCGGAATGTTAAGGGAGAGTCCTCAGCATGCATGCTATTCATTTTGAATTTGTCACAAGGGGCCGTTGTCAAATCATTTTTGAACATGGAAGGATGATTTTTTTAAAATTTTTACCGACCACAAAGCAGTCGCTTAACTGAATTGTACAAAAGCTCACAAAATAGAGTCAACTCAAGCGCGTTCTTGTCCGACGTGCCAATGGACACAACTGACGTCGCAGTTGACCGCCAGCCACATTTTCATTCGCTTCCTCCCACCTCAGTCAACAGGCCTGGTCTGGCTTTTAAAGGCACACATACATTCTGTATCACAGATACGACAGTGTACCATGTGAGGGCGGCAATGAAGTTCATGTTCAATTCACTTCAAGGCAAAAAAAAAAAAAAGCCAGTTGATTTGGAAAAATGATCGATTTTTGTCTCTCCCCCGCAGGCCTCCGGCGCTGGCGGGCAGTCCGGCCTTCTCGGACATCTCCCTCATCCGCATCTCGCCGCAGCGGAACCCCTCCGTGGGGGCCGAGTCTCCCTTCCACCCGTCGCACCCGTACATCAACCCCTACGTGGACTACCTGCGCTCCCTGCAGCCCCTCGCCAGCCCCTCCATCTCCGTGCTGTCGGCCACCCGAGGCCTCAGCCCCGCCGACGGTGAGCACAAAGGTTCCATTTGCCGACCTTGTTTTGCTTCTTCTTCTTCGAACTAATATCACTCACTACAAGCGATATCCGAGACGTAATTCCTCGTGGTTGAGAGGCAAGCGGATCCGCCTCTATTCGAAACCAGGGGCTCGCTCAGATGCTATCCGGCTGATGAGGGTCATGTGATACGTGGGGGGGAGGGGGTGGGGTGGCGAGAGCGGAAGGGGGCACGGGAGGCTAATCCTTTTGATGTGTGAGTCCTGTCCGAGACCGCCAGGGTCACTTCGTATTTCACCATAAGGGGGTTTTAAGGAATGGGGGAGGTTTGGGAAGACTCAAGTTCACACTGGGAGGTGGCTGGAAATGTGTCATCGTTTTTTAATGAAAAGATGATTAGATTTGATAGGCGTCACATTGGGAGTCGCGTGAACATTTTGAATTCATTTCTTTGGAATTCTTTTTATCAGGTGAAATCTTGAGTATGAAGTAAAATAATGACTTTGGGGACAGGATTGACCGAGAATGATTGAGTTCATCATTTTTCATTTGTGTCGAAAGTAAAATACACTCATTAGCCGGAATATTTCGGATTCAAAAGGTTTAATGACAGGCAACACGGTGGGGCCTGTGGTTAGCATGTCTGCCTCGCAGCGGTAGAGGTTCCAAGTTTGAATGCGACTTGGGCCTCCTTGCGAAGAGTTTGCATGTTCTCCCCTCCCACATTCACTTAAAAAAAAAAAAAGTGCATTTTTAGGTTCATTGACCATCTCGGCGGTCCAGAGGCCAGAATTTTTTTTTGTCTCGACACAGCATGTTCGCGTTCACAATGCAAATGTCTCCACTTCTGACTTTTATTCCTCTCTCTGTGCTCATGATCTGTGTGCTAATTAGGTCTTTAATCAACACTCTGCTTAATTAAGCCATCCGTGGCTTTGCTGTCGTTAGTCTGTGGGCAAGTTGTAAAAAAAAAAAAAAACAACAACAAAAGGAGCCCTTGAGTGCTGTGAATGACTGTATAGCATCGAATGGAGTTTTAAAAGTGGGAGGGATCCTCCGCTTTCTCATTGTGTTTTCCGATTTGTGCCCAAGAACATGGAGTGCCACGTTAACACACACACACACACACACACACACACACACACACACACACACACACACACACACACACACGCACGCAAGATGCCCTCAGGATGGCATTGCGATGCCAGCGTTCCTTATTTGGAAAGCCAAGCAAAGCTCTTCTTCTCTTTCTCGGTGTTGTGTGCACGCGTCCCCCTGAATAGGCCACATTACGGCTCAATGCAAATGCAAAGCTCGGGCGGAACAGCAAAGACAATCGACAAACTCCCCACTTCCACCAGGGATATAATACCCAGATCAAATTAATTTAGCATCTTTTTTTTTCTCCCCCCCCCCCCTCCCTTATAGCGCCATTCAGTCGATCGCATGCAGGAAATCTCCTCAACCCATCCTTTCTGGAGAGAGAGTGAAGGGGGGGATGGGGGTGTTGAACTCTGCGGTTTCTGAACACATTCCATATTTGCATCCAAAACCGCTGTCTTTTCCCTTCCCTCTTTCAGGGAATATTTGCATGAGCAAAACCCACCAGCGCCAGATGTTTATTTTTAGGCAACGGTTGAAGGACTTACGGCACGCCGTTAACGAGAGGGAACGACTCGTAAAAATGAATGGCAAGGCAGAACGAAGGCGGGATATCCAGCGCTGGTGCGTGCGTGCGTCGAAGCTCTTTTGTTTTCCCGCACGGAGCGTTTTGAGGGAGCGGGTTGCCTATCTGCGCACGGCAGATACAAGACACCCCAGCGAAACGGGTGCCAACATGCACAAACATACACGACACGTAAAAATAAGCTTAAGGTCACAAAACTGTCATCGATGCTGACCGAAATTTTAGTGGACCTATTTACTGCTGCCCACTTCAACCTTTGCAAATTTTAGAACAATCGCCACAATAGCTTTACACACCCTTTTCCTCTCCATATAGGCGCTCACTCCAGAAAAAGCTTATTGAGGAAAATTCTCATAAAATCCTGAATATTGGAGCGGTGGTTGAAATATTTGCAGAGGTAGAATTGGGCAAACAAAACCCCAAAAAAACGCAAGATCCACCTATTTTATAGTAATTGATTGCGATTTTCTGATGTGAAGCGAAACTCCTGGTATGTTAAAGAAATACAATTGTTGGTGTTGTCCACGTATATCATGAAAAGTTCAGTTGCAGTGAAATTGCTGATACCGACATGATCTGGGTCAAATTGACCCAGGAATAGTATTGCTGTCTCCGAGAAACGACCCCATACAGCTGACTTGAAATGGGTCGATTTGACCCAAACTACAGCAGACTGCATAACTGCATGTCACTTTAATGCGAATGCTTTCAATTTCACTCAGTCACGGACGTTTGACTATTTTTGAAGCGGGATTGTTCCATTTCTAATTGCATGTGTGTTTTCCGTCCCGCAGCCCCCCACGCCGGCCTGACGCCCTCCGAGTACTACCACCAGATGGCCCTGTTGGCGGGCCACCGCAGCCCCTACTCGGCCGACCTGCTCCCATCCGTGGCCACCTCGGCCGGGGCGGGCGCCGCCGGCGCCCTGCACATGGAGTACCTGCAAGCCATGGACAGTAAGTAGAAAAATGCCGACGCAACCGTGTGAGATTCGACTTGGATTTAACTCGGGCAACTATGCAATTAGGCTAACAATTTAATGAATGAGAGGTCTTAAATTTGAGACAAATCCAAAATGGAGTACCGCAAGGTCTGCACATGCACCCAACAGCTTCACTTGGGCTGACGTGGTTGAAATTCTCTCATGCTCATGCGTTATTTTAAAGTGTAAATAGGAAATCGGGGCGAGGTTGGAGTACCTTGGCCCCCCCGGCTCGCTTTGATGGGAGCCTTTGCAGCCAGGCGGGCGGCGTGCCTCGCGGTCTTGCCGACAAACTAATTAAAAGTCGGCAAAGTTTGCGCGGCTATCGGGAAATTAATTGCTATTAAGCGGGAATAGGAATGTCCCGCCATTCATCGCCGGGAGAAATCCTGTCTTCTTTGTCACGTTTTAAGATGAATGGCGTGAAACCAAACAATTAGGGCCCCGTCCAAGCGGCGATGCGCCGCTCTTGACTTGAAACCGGCCTGTGATCATCGCCACTAATAACTCTTCAGCGGCTAAAATGTGAACAGAATGGACTCCGTCAAGAGGCTTCCCGTGATAATCTGGACTAGGGCGACTGTTGGAGCGTAATTAGCGTCCGTGTGAGCGACGCTACAGAAACAATGGGCTTGTTAGCCCCGTCCCGCTTTTTCACAGGCTTTTGTCTATGTTCTTACTGCCTAATTAGTGGCAAAAGGCTCATATTAGTGCACTATATGACCGTCTCAATTGATTGCCTAATTTCTCCCCTATAATAACTTCCTTTCTTTAATCATCACAAGTAAATGCTTGAACTCGGTTTGGTACCCAATTAGCAGAAAAACACACACAAACAGACAACGTGCTAAAGATGATTATTATGGAGTGATGATGCCCATTTTTGCCTGATCTGTGGGTGGGAAAAAAAAAAAACGTCTTGTTTCTTGATCGAAAAGGAAGGCGGCTGAAAAAGTTGAACGAGGGCGAAAGGACACTTTCCAGCACGTTGGGGGCGGGGCTCCCGAATCGGGTGGAAAGGCCTCATGGGACTGATGTTTATTAGCGCGCCGCCCAAATGATGAATCGGCCTCACGCCGGGACAGAGTGAGAGGAGCGTCGCGGCCCCCTGAAGCACAACTGTCCCTCTAATTTTCCTCTTGATTTATGGACAGCGGGGGACCCACTTATGCAACGCGTCATTCACTTCTGTGGCTGCGCAAGCGTTCAGACAGTGGACTGGCAAAGCCTCGAAAAAAAAATGGAGGGACGCTCATATCAACGGTGGCTCGCGATTGTTGATGATCACCATCAAGACGTTGAGATCACATTCGGAGACCACTCAGAGTCACTGTGCATGTTCTTATAAACCTTTTTGGGGACCTTGACATGGTTGAAAATTAGGGCCCAACCGATAAGGATTTTCTCCAAGTCCCATGTCGAAATTGGAACAGGAAGTCGGCCATTTTGGTTTGAAGCAGCCCTTTTAGGACAAATTCCAACCCTTGTACTTTTGACGAACTCCCACTGGCAAGACTTCCTCCATGTTTTATTAATGTGTCGGTAGTTGTTGAGTTGCTTAAAAAAATAAATATGTGCAAACCCGCCACAACTGTGTTGCTCCACGCACACACAAACACACTTTCACACACATACAGACACGCGTTGATTAACATGTGAATGGAGCTTGCTGTAATCGTTGGATGTGTCAGCCAAAGAGACGGGAGCATTTACATTTGGGAGATGGATGGATTGTGGGGGACGTAAATACAGGGGTGGTTGTGTGTGCGTGTGTGTGTTGGGGGGGTGTGATCTAGGCTGTGTAAGCCATTTTTGTTTGCCTTTTATGAAACAACTCCAAATGTTTTATCTGCGAGTCTTGAGTCACAAAGTCCTTGTGTCACAGTGCCGCATCCCTTCAGTGCCCCCCACCGCCCCCCCATCTCCTCCGCCCCCCTCCCGCCGTTGTTCTCCGTCTTGTTTGTGACATCGCCGTGTGAAAAGACAACAAAAGTCATGTTTTAATCTCCACCCGTGGCTCTTTGTGCGTGCGCCCAGAGAATGGTGGCTGCCTTTTGCCGCCTTTTTGTACCCATTCAACCCGCTTTTTTTTTTTTTTTTTTTTTTGTGTGTGTGTGTTTTGTTGTTTTGTTTTGTTTTTTCCTTGATTGCATCTGAATGAGGAGTCAAATCGGACCGGGCGACGTATTAGCACACACCGTCGGAGCATTCGGGCGGACATAAAAAGCTTGTTTTCTTCGGCGTGAAATGCAAGCAGTGCATCAAGTGACAGCTGAGCACGAGTCACGCCATTCCTTTTGATACATGATTGACAAAGATGTCATCCCAAAACTTTTGCAATACAGTACTCAAAGTATTTTTTTTTTTCTTCAGACTGTGAAAATATGTTTTGGTCCTCCTCGCAGGTTCTCGCTTCCCGAGCCCCAGAGTGCCGTCACGGCCAAGCAGGAAGCGACCGCTGCCCATCTCGCCGCTGTCGGAGCACAGCTTCGACCTGCAGACCATGATCCGCAACTCACCCAACTCACTGGTAACCATGCTCAACAACTCCCGCTCCAGCTCGTCCACCAGCGGCTCCTACGGACATCTGTCAGCCGGAGCCATCAGGTAAACCTGCGATGCATCACTTGTTTTATCTAGTCACGTGACAAAAGAAAAATCAAACACTTAAAGTAACTCTTTTATTCGCCATGACGTATAAATACGTCTTGAAAAACCGCTGCGGCCGCCTACCTATGACGTATTTTTACTTAATTTTTTTTTGCGTCATAGTGTGCAGAAGGCTCTGGAACGCAGCCTCTGACTCATGATCAGGCTGCATCAAATCTGTCCAGCAGGTGGCAGCGAGTATAAGGGATCGGCCAGGATCATGCAGCAGAAGAAGTGGAAGTAGAAGTAAAGGGCGAGGGATGCATGGGAAGAGTTGTGGAAGCGTGTGGAGTTAGTAGAGCGTGCATTTGAAAAAATAGTAGTGCCATACTTGAAATTGTGCTTGAAATGCATGCAGAGACTGGAAATCTGCTGAAAGTTTGCTCTTTTCTAATGCTGATTGCTAAAGAAGGGAAAAAGATGAAAGAAGAGATTCTCATCCTTCTTTTGGTCGGCTGCGTGATTATATCGCAGGAGAGCCTGATAATCTGTCAGCCTTGCAAGTCAAAATCCAGTGAAACGGCTGTGATTGAAGGCTTTGCTCCAGTGAAAATTGCTGGGATTAAAGGAGTTAAAGTAGATCCTACAGATGTCATCAATCGTCCAACATAAACAATAGTGGTCCCAATATGGAACCTTGTGGGATGCCACACTCAATACTGTTCCCCTTTTGTTCTGCCCTGGGCAGGTTAGGTTGTCCTGGCAACACGCAGAGGCTGAAATCTGATTGGACACGAATTCTACCATTCACTTGCACATTTGTCAGAAGCTGGACAAAAAAATATAAAAACAAACTAACTATAAAGCAGATTGCAGGATGCTTTTTTCCCCTTTATGGTCGTACAAATAAAATAATAAATATAATAATAAAACATATTGATGGAGAAATTGATTTCCATAAACCTCTTGGCTGCTTTGATTTGTTCATCTTCCCCCAACCTCAGAAACTGGGTGTGTAGGCAGTTGCCTAATTGTGACATCACAGTGGGGGCAGGAGTACACAAGGGCTCACTCACAGGCACTTTTGCAGGAATGGCAACCAAAAGATTTCCTTGCGTGGTCCGCATAAATGAAGAGTGTCGATTGTGTGTTGCGGGCGACCATTCTTGGTGACGCCTCGTAAGTCTGCCGTTGTTATTACCGGCGTGGAGGAAAATCGATGGGCCGAAACGCATTTGGGGGCCCGTGAGCTTGTCATATCCGTCACGGGCGTAACGCCTCGGCCTATTTGGGTCCTGTCATCGGGACGGCGGTCCCGGCCCGCCGCGTGATTGATCAGGCTCCCGGCGCGGATCGCTGATCAATGGCTGCGGGTGGGGGCCATGGATCTTTCCCCCGCCGGTCGCTTCTATCTTCTTTTCTTTGGCCGCCCGCCCGTCCGTCTGCTCGCGTGACTGACACCAGCCGCCAGGGAGGTGGCGGGACCGGCTAGCCGGGAGAGGCTCACCCACACGGGGGACTGGACGGCGACGGGCTTCGGACATTTCCATAGCAAGTTGAAATCAAAGCAATACTTTGATCTGCAGTGATGTTTTTTTTTTTTTTAAGTTAACTGTGCACTTGAAGTCAACCTTTGTGTTTTGTAAGGCTTTGATGAATCAAGCTCAATTTCACACTTTTTATTTCGTCGTGCGGATCGTTTGCCCGCTCCGAGGATGTCGTCGGCGGCGCCGCCGCCACTAAAGCTTTGCCGCCGGCCCAGCTGGTTCCGGTATTAGCGCAACCTCGTCTCCTGTCAGATTGTCCTCGGGGTTGGGGTTGGGGGTAAGCAGCAGCAACTCTCCTTTGTTTCACAGTACTCCACCAAGTGAGCCATTACTAGAATTATCTCTATCTCTATCATACCTGCGACTGACTGGCGACCAGTTCAGGGTGTAGTTTGCCTTTTTGCCCGGAGTCAGCTGGGATCGGCTCCTGCAACTCCCCGCGACCCTGTTCAGGATAACCGGTGTTGAAAATGGATGGATGGATGGAATTTCAATGCAAAATGTCCGGGTTTTCATTTATTACACCCATTTTTCCGTAAATGGACATTTGAGACATGTACTTTTTCATTTCTTGTACTTATACTAGCCGAATTATTGTGACTTTAATTGGTCTGTGTGTGTGTGTGTCTGCTTATGGTTAGCCCCGCATTGAGTTTCGCCTACCCGCCCACGCCAGTGGCCCTGCACATGCACCAGCAGCTGATGGGCCGCCAGCCAGCCATGGTGGGCTCTGCCTTCGGTCACAGCCCGCCGCTCATCCACCCGACGCCGGCCTTCGCCACCCAGAGGCCCGTGTCCGGCTTCACCGCCGCCGCCGCCGCCGGGCTGGCCGCCGCCGAGCGTTCGGCCGTCTCGGGTGACTCCGCGCAGGTACTCAAGTACAGCTAGTGAATACTTTTGCCACCTCTGGCCATTCATCATGGCAGGTAATAGATAGCTGGCGCCGCACGCCAGCCGCACCTCGGAAACGCTAGCCGTAGCGTCCGTCCTCCGGGGAGTTCCGCCGCCCGACAGCGAGGGGCTTGTTAGCATCGCGTTTCACAGCTCGCTCCATTAATCACGGGAGAGGGAGGGGGGACCTGATATTGACATGGATGGATGGATCCAAAGGGGTCTTTACTTTGCTTTACCTGAAGCCGACTGTATGTGCGGGCCTACGCTTGAAGCGCGTATTCCATCTTTATTACCACCGCCATGTCCCACTCAAATAACGGCATATTAAATCAGGCTTCAACCGCACAAACCAAGCCAATCTTGTTCCTTCAAGACCCGCTCAAGTCATTCTCAGGATTGGCTTCTCGAAACATGCAATGTGTTTGAAGTGCTGAACAACGTGCAAAGACTGGCAACAAATTAGTCCTGATTTGCTTCTCAGGTATCCGAAATTTTTTGCTGCAATACATTTACATGAGCGAGAGGTGACGTTCACATTCTGTTTTGGTGTGTGCAGTTGAAACCCACCAGCGAGTCCGCGGTGAGCAGCACGGGCGACCCGATGCACCACAAACGCTCCAAGATGAAGCCAGAGGAGGAGATGCCCAGCCCGCGGCCGCTCAGCATTCAGGTACTGATGAGGCGCCGCTCGGTGACCTTTGACCTGCAGTTAATTTTGCCCTTGGAACTCCTAAGAGGCTGGACTTGGCAACAACTGAGTTCGATTTTCTTATTCAACTCCAACAAAAATGTACGGAGTTGAATAATAAATGCGTTCTGTGTTTGTGGAGGGCTTGTTATTTTTTTTCTTGAAGGCGGGAAGGAGTGTATGCTTCTATGCTCAGTGCTGCTGGAAAAAAAAATCACATTTGTGAAAATAATAAAAATAAAATAAAAATTAAAAAAAATTGTCATCAAGAATTTCCACCATTGATTTTTTTGGCGCATTTTTTAATATGTTTTCCATTCACGTATTTTCCAGAATTGAGTTCTTATTGAATGAAATTACTCATTTTCATTCATATCAAAACCTATTCAACTTCCATTGTATTTTTTTCTGTACACTCACACGTTTCGCCAAAAAGTTAGCAAGCGCCGCCCCCCCTCAGGCCGGGTTGACTTTCACACGCTTGAGAAAACATTTCACTTGAATCAAAGTGTTCATAAATAAGAGTGGAGAGTGCAGTAAGTGGCCATTGTGTAAAAGTGGAGGCAGAGACTAACAGTGAAATATGCGTGCGCTAATTCCTGCGGCAGGAAGAGAGGCTCCCGTTCCCCAAATAGTCCCCCCACTTGTTCTTGTGCTGGAAAAAGCTGTAAAAGTCCAAAAGTCTGCCTTTCGAGGCCAAATTCTCGGGGTCAACGCCAACGGTGACTCACGTTGTCGCATAGAAAGCTGATGCCGATCGTGGAAGACATTATTTCTCGCTTTGCAAATTGTAACTTAAATCTCAATGTAGCAGGATCACCCCGACGGCATGACGCTGGTCAAGGAGGAAGGCGACAAGGACGAAGGCAAACAGGAGCCCGAGGTGGTCTACGAGACCAACTGCCACTGGGAGAACTGCTGCCGCGAGTTCGATACCCAGGAGCAGCTCGTGCAGGTACACGTCGCGTCACGTGAGCAAAAGTTGACGCCTGGGGACCAAAGTGTGCAGTACACAGTTTGATCCATCCATCAAATGATGAGCACTATTTCGTGGAACAAAAAGTATCTGAATAGAAAAAGAAAGCATTTTCATGAAGTGTTTTTTTTTTTTTTTTTTTTTTTAAATCTGCAAATCAACTGTCAATCACCGGACAGACATTTGCGATGCTTTTATTTGGGGTGACCGATGAAGCTATCAAGAGTGGTTTTGTGGAATGGAAACTTCTTAGCGAGGTCGCGGCGCTAAGCTGGCAAAATCATCTCCTGTCAGACACCCAAGTTAGAGGAGGGCACATGAAAAGAAAACGCGCGCACGCGGCCTGCGCACGGCGGAGAGAGAGAGAGGATAGAAAGATCCGGCGCTCCCCACACTTGTCTGTTCTGCGTCTTGACACGGCAATCGTGGTGGTAACCTCTATCTATAATTGATATCCTCACCTGCCGCCCGCGTTTGAAGGGCGAGGCTCAAACGCTTGAGGAGCTTGACAACTTCTTGCGCCTCTTTCAGCCGGCGGGGGGTTAGTGAGGGGTGGGGGGGGGGGCTGTGGGAAGCTGGCGGCGGGGAAGGGGGCTTGGTCGGTGGAGGAGAGGAAGTAGATCCCCCTCACCCCAGGTGGCCGTCTCAGCCAACATCCTTCTCTTCCGATTAGCCACAAAATGCCTTTTCTCGCAATTGCTTTTGCTATTTGCGTGCTTCGGGGGGGCTCCATGTTTGCATGCCATCTATGGCACTTTTTGGGCAAATTTGGCATTTGCATGGCAAATGGCAAATATGCAGTTGGCAGTTGAAACAAACAGCTTATTTTTTAAAATAATATGTTGCTTGCTTATTAAAAACTAGAGTCTTAAGGAAGCTAGCGTTTCAGACAACATGAAAACAAAATCTAGTATTTACATGACTGAAGAGTATCATTTGACAAATATGGACCATTATGGCTTTTTTTTTTAAGAGAATATGGCATCAAATTGTAGCCCGTCTCCTTTTTTACGGCGAACTGAAGACGGAATGTATTGTTTTCTGGGGGCGGACAAAAATGTACATTTTTGTCCTGATGTGTTGGTGTGTGAGGTGAAAAGACGACGCTCCCCCTCGCAGCAGGTGGCCTCGTGAGCCAATGTCCTCGGCTTCCCATGATCAACAAAATCCATTTCCTCTCAATTGTTTTTTTGCGATTTGATTTCTCATTTTCCACGCAGATGCGTGGCGAGATGCCAGTAAAAGTCGCCGCGTCCTCTAATTCAAGCGAACTCCGACGAGAACGCTTTCTTATCTGCCTTGTGCCCTCCCCCCCTTCCTCCTCCTCATCATCATCAGTAATAGGATAAGTACAGTATTTGGACCACAGTGGGTCCCCCTCACAAGCCTGCTGGAGGGTTTGAGAGGGGGTGGTCGGCTTTATGGTGGTGGTGATGGTGGGGGGGTATCCAGAAAGGCAAGCAGCCTCCGCATTTGTCTTCTGAAATAGCTTTGGGGGTAAGAGGGGGGGATGTAGAAAAAAAGATGGTTGAATGAAGACTGCCACCAAGGCCCAGCAATGCAAATTTGGATTTGTATCGAGTTGTGCATATTAAAAAATGGCCTTCAAATGTGTGTCAAGGAAATTTGCCTTTAAATTCATGCACTATCCACTGAAAAATTAAGAAAAATAACCCAAAAAAAAGTCAAAAACTTTATATTTGTCCAGATTCACACCAGAATGAAGAGAATCATGAGCAAATTCCAATGCCTCGTCAAAATTTGCAATCAGCATATTTACACATACGCTTCTACTGTTTTTTTTTTTTTTTTTTTTTAAGCTGCTAACAAATCAACAAACACCAATCAAAACAATACGCTTGCTGTTACTTGGCGGACTTTGCGAAAAAAGAAACCGCCTCCTTGATTAGAACCATTTCCATGGAGGTGCGCTCATTAATCGTTTCAACAAGCGGACGGCGTTGAAACGTGGCCGCCGCGCCTTTGTGCTTGGCCTCATTTCGGGAATTAAGCCTCCGCACCACCCTCGTTGCACTCCACCTTGTTCAAAAGCTCTCGGCGCATATTATTTCCAGCCTCAAACGTGCCATACGCCAGCGCCGCGCAGCGCCACGCCGCGCGACTTTATCGCCAGTGCCGATAAGATAAACGTCAGATCTGTGCAATTTAGCTCACTTATCTGGCCCAGCCAGTCAGCACAAGCGAGGCGGGTGTCACTTTTACTTTGCGCTGTTTATTTCATTGATTCCATTTGTGGCATTCGCCCGCACAATTGGACCCTCCTCTTGATTTGGGGGGGGGGCCTCAATATCCCCCCACACGCTCATTTTCACATTCATTTTCCCTCCCTGGCGTTTTTTTTCCCTCAGAGGGACGACTTTTTTAAGATAAGGCCTAGTGGCTTCTTTAATGCTGAGCTTCAAGTACCCCCCCCCCCGCCCCCCGAACCCCTCAGCCCTCGTATGGCCTTCCTACACCATCTTGTATCGTGGCATAAATGAACCCTTAGGCAGTAGTTACAGTGATCATGGCAGCAAATCACAAACTAAAGTCCAGCTACGTTGATTGCATGGACTTGGTTCAGTTTGGCCTTGGTGGTCTGCATGTGTGAGTCCCCCCCCCCCACCCATAGGTGGCGCTAGCGAGGGCCTGTTGGCTTCGTCAGTGTTTAAGGCGGATAAACACTGAGTATCCGAGTACAAACGCCACCACGCCCCGCCCCCTCCCCCTCGTCTTCTA